TTCTAGGCTTTTCCATTGCTGGATTCAGCAGTACTCTTAGGAATGCTTGTTTCCTTTCTGATGGGCATTTACTATCAGTAACTAGCACCCAACTGTGTGAAAGTGGAGTTTTTATTCAACAAGGACTGGGAGCTGTTCTCAGTGGATATAGCTCTGGAAGTCAGTGTTCCATCAGAAGATCCAACAAGGAGCATGTGTTCACTGGGGCCAGCAAATATAGACAGCAGGTCCATGCACTGACGTGCCTGCACAGAAGTGTTGCTGCCCTGGGTGCTTCTGTCTGACAGTGTTGAGCAACTGCAGCACCCTGATAGGAGCTGACTCCTGATGCTGGCAGAGTCTGAGCCATGCTAGCTGTCAAGCCATGTCTGGGGAAGGGGCTCCAGGAGGCACTCCAGGGTGTCGGCTCCGCACCCTGATGGACGTCACGCTGTCAGGTGTGTCAGTGCTGTGTGCAGAACTGAGAACTCTGCGCACAGCTGGAAGCCGCCAGCCGATACCATTCCTCAAACAGGCTGCATCTCCACTGCTTTCCAAGGGTGCTTCTTCCCAGAAGTCAGGCTCTTCACACCGGCTGACCCGCCATCCTCTGCCAGTGTTTGCTGATCTGAGAACACTGTAAGCTATTTCAGGTTATATAGATAACGACAGCAAAGCCCAGTGTCAGGGACAGAAACTCTGTGGTCATGAATTAACTACACTGTAGTGGCCACTTTTGTTTCTGAAGCATTCTTGGTGTCCTCTTTTGAAGAAATTTAGTCCCTCTATCACTCAGTGACTGTCCTTTTACTTACCAGCCTGGACTATCAGGCCTTACCTTGGGTGGGAGCCAGAGGAAGAGTCAGCTGCTGAAGAGTGAGGAGGGGACTCTGGACTCCCTCTCCTCTGGCCTGCCCTGGGTGGGACTGACTGAGCAGAGCACAAGTAGGGCTTCCTCTCCTGGATGTGAGACTTTCCTTATTCCGGTGTTGCCTGCATTCAGGGCTTCATCTTGGGATTCCACCCAGTGTCCCTTATCCTGGCCATCTTGATGCTTAGGTCTTGGAACGCGTGTCATTGCTGGCTTTTGCTGTTTTTATCTGGTGAATGTGCCTAGGCCAGGTCCTTCAGAGTGCAGCTGAGGGCCACCTTGCTGATGCAGGAGCTCCGTGGCATTCTCCCCTCCAGGAAACTCATCTGCAGTGTCTTTGCACACTGTCCTTCTTGAGCATGAGCACCTGTCTCAGCACCTGTAGGGCTGTCCCACCCTTGTGTGGTCACACTGCCTGCCTGCCTGCCTGCCTTGAGACTGTAGTCAGTTCAGGGGCAGGGGATGACTTGAGCCTGGCTTGGTCCTTGGCACGTGGGAATGCTTTTCTTGGAGTAAAGCTGGGAGGTCAGACCTATTTGAGAAAGCACACTCGGGCTCTGGGACCACATGGGCCCTTTGTGGACACTGGCTCCATGGCCCTGACCTCCTGGGCCAGTCTTTGGTCTTTGGGATGCCAGCTTTCCCATCTACAAATGAGGCCGATGAGGGAGCAGGCAGGAGAGAATTGAAAGGAAATCCACATAATAGTGCTTGGCACATAGTAGGCGCTTAGTGAATGTGTGTCTTTCCTGCAGTGATGGGGCATCGGGTGATGGCTTTCAGCAGGATGTGTGCATGTGTGTCTCTGTTCTCAGGTTCTCTTTTCCACCCGATGTCTTATTTTTCAAGATTCCTGAATGGTGTTCCATTTTATAGATGTTTTGCAGCTTATTTGACTAGCCTATTTATTAAATAGAGACGTTCCACTTATTTGCAGTCTTTTATTTTCACAGTGCCGCTCTGATATGTGTGTAGCTTTGTCATTTCACACATAAATTTATCTGTCGGGTATGTTTCTAGAAGTGTCAAAGGTTTCGTTTCAAAGGGTAAATTCTATAAAGATTGTTTTAAGATTTTAATTTTGAAATAATTTTGATTTTAATAGAAAGATTTCAAAACAATACAAAGAATTCTCTTATACCTTTCACCCAGAGACCCCTGAATGTTCTCATCTTAATGCATTTGCCTTCTCTACTTAGGGATTTGAATTTTCCCAGGGCCTGCAGATGTAACACTGCTTTAACTGGGAGCATTTCCCTAATAGTGTATTGCCTAAAACCAAGGACAGCTTCATGGAGCCATAGTACATCACCACCAGTAGGAGATTGCTACTGTGCAGTCTTTACACCTCTTACAAATTTCATTTTTTAAATTAGTGTTGTGTTTGCTAACAAAAGAAAAATTACTTTGCTTTGACAATGTTTCTAGTTTTGTGTCCACTCCCAGTAACAGTGTCTTGGAGTGCCTGTTTCCTCATGGGCCTTTTCAAGACAGAGTTATAAGATTTTCGGGTCCGCTATGCTCATCTGCTTACCTGGTTAAAAACTGGTACTTTATTGTCACATAAATTATATTCTCTTACAAGGCTTAGGTTGAGACATTTTCATATTAAAGAACACTTGTATTTTTCCATTAGACTACTTCTTGATTTTCATTTTGTGGCTGTGATACATTAAAGTTGGTGATATTTTGTTATCTATATTTGTGACACACATTCTTTTCTAATATGCTTTTCCACTTGAGGGAAATGTTTGCCTTTATATTGCTAAGTTTGTCAATTATTTATGACTTTTGGGCTTGTATAACATTTAGACTTCAGCACCAACCTTATGGAAACATAACTTCTTCTTTCACCTAATGCTTTTGAATCTTGGATTCAATGTAATTTCTCTTTGGCTGGCTATCCAGGAGTCCAAACACCATTTGTTGAACAGGTTTGTGTCTCGCGGCCTAGCTGAATGGTCAACTTTACATACACCACTCCATATCTGCCCAGGTCTTTTCCCTCTTGTACTTCACTAGTTTGCTAGTCGTTTTATTCAATAAGTTCTGGTACCTGTGCTTAGGCTTTATTGTGCATTTTAGTAACTAGGAAGCCTAGTTCTCTCTTGATACTCTTGTTTTGAAGTGTGTACTTGATAATTTTCCCATATTTATTTTTTCAGATTCACTTTTGCTAATGTTTCCAAAACTAGTCTTAGTATGTATGTATGAATGATAAATTAAACCAGGGAGAATCAATGAGTTTATAAAGTTTTATATTTATATGATTTATTCATCTTTTTCTCATATTTCAGTTGTATTTAAAATTTTTCTTGTGGCTATTGTTTGTAAATAGAGTGTTGATTTTATTTTCCTTTTTTGTGTTGTCTTGATATGTTTTATTCGCCTCTTTCTGTTTTTAGACTTAAAAAAGTTTTAGAGTACATGATCTTACGAATTCCTTTTCTATTAAATATGATTACATGTTTTTTTTCTTTACAAATATGGGAAAGTGTTTGAAGGAGGGGCGCTGTTGCCCTGTGCTGGGAAACTTGCCTTGTGGGGTGTGGGTCTGGTTTTCAGGCCTTCCCACTTGTTGCAGTACAACTCTGGATTCAGCCTTTCATTTTTGCACATGCAGGTCACATTTTGAGCCAGCTCAGGGCTGCCAGTTTGGAATTTTTGTTTCAGTTTGTTCCCAGAAATAATTAGAACTTGGTGACAGTTTTATACTGTGTGTTCTTCATAATTAAATGTATATTTTAATTAAAAAAATTTTTTTAGTTGTAGTTAGACACAATATCTTTATTTTATTTATTTATTTTTATGTGGTGCTGAGGATAGAACCTAGCGCCTCGCACGTGCTAGGCGAGCGCTTACCACTAAGCCACAACCCCGCCTCTGTATTTTCGTTTTTGTTTGGAAAAAATTTGATTTTAAGAGATGAGTTTCTAATTTTAGCTACAGAAGATATAGTTATGTTTCTGATTTTCTTTTACCTAATAATTTTTCCATATGAATTGTTCTTGCAAAGACTATTATCAGAGAAAATTCACTTTCTCCTTTTACAGATTCCTTTGTATATGTGGAAAATTCCTTGTATTTGCTGATAACAAAGAGAAAGAAGAGATTTTCCTTTTCCCTAACAAAACTATGCCTGTATAGACACAGTAAAATAAATAAGTTAAAATTTTCTGGTGGATTTCATCAACATGACCAAAATCTTTTAGAATTTACTTAAATTGAATCTACGTAACTACTGTAGATATTTATTTCATTTCAGATAAATACATGTAGTCAAACTTTTCAAAATAAAAAGTGTGCTGAATTTTATTTAAAATATACATGTGTGTTAGAAATAATTTTGCTTATTTCCGTAAATTTTTATTGTGATCTTCTTCTGGTAGGAGTAGTTTTAACTTTGATTTGGAGTTGAATAATGACCTTTGTAGTTGAAGAAGGCAGGATCTTTCACATCTGATCATGGACCCTCTAGTGTCATGTACTATTTCTTGGTCAACTGTTCGTAAATTTTCTTTTGAAGCTGAACAGTCTATCATTTGCTGATTATTTGCATTCATATTACTTTTTTTGGGCGGGGGGTGGTGCTGGGGATTGAACCCAGGGCCTTGTGCATGCAGGGCTAGCACTCTACCGACTGAGCCGTATCCCCAGCCCCTCATATTACTTGTTATTTGTGGTGTGAGAGGCTCAGTAAATAGTTTTGCAGACTTCATTGGCATCTGCCAGTTCCTGGAGCTGGTGGGTCCCTGGATCACACTGGCCCTGGCTGTGGGGCAGCTGGTGCGGGTCTGTGCACTGGTTTCGGAGATGCTGGGTTCAGCTGCAGCCTCTTCCTGTCTGTCCTGGAGGCCTGCCCTCATGTGCTCATGGAAAGGCAGGGTGTCTTCTAGATGGAACATCACAGTTGGTAACTTAGCCATGGGGTCAAGGTAACCAGGTCTCTAGTAACTTAGGTAACTTAGCGAAGGGGCCAAGGTTAAGCTGTTCGCTGGGTAATCTAGGGGTGGGGTTCAAGGCCAAGCTGTGGTAACTGCTGACGCTGCGCTTCCTGGGGCGGGCACACGAGTGCGGCGGTGCATCCATCCTTCATGCGCCCGCGTGGTTTCTGGGCCTCTGGACTGCCCTCCTCTCCTTGTCGCTCCAGGCTCGGTTCGGGAGGAGAATGGCGTGCGGTGGCACGTGTGTCCCTACTGCACCAAGGAGTTCCGGAAGCCCAGCGACCTGGTGCGCCACATCCGCATCCACACCCACGAGAAGCCCTTCAAGTGCCCGCAGTGCTTCCGCGCCTTCGCCGTGAAGAGCACGCTGACGGCGCACATCAAGACGCACACGGGCATCAAGGCCTTCAAGTGCCAGTACTGCATGAAGAGCTTCTCCACCTCAGGGAGCCTCAAGGTGCACATCCGCCTGCACACAGGTGCGCGGGCGGGGTTCCGAGAAGAGCTGGGCGTGACCGGCCCGCACGCACACCGCGCACGCACGCCGCACACCGCGCACGCACGCCGCACACCGCGCACGCACACCGCACACCGCGCACGCACGCCGCACACCGCGCATGGGATTGAGCGGAGGGGGGGGGGGCTGAGCTGCGGTGGGAGGGGACCTGCTGCCTGCTGCTGTGGGAACCTTCTGCAGTCACTGGTAGGGCATAAAGGGGTCGCACTTGAGGTCCACATCTTTTAAAATAACAGCCTTATTGAGATGTAAATCACATACCATAACATTTATAAGTGCACAGTTCAGAATGGTGCAGCTACCCCTCCCCCAATTGGAACATGTTTGTCACCCCTCCCAACTCACCACTCACTGGCAGGCCCCCTCCTGAAGCCTCAGGCTCCCTGCCGGGGTGGCGTTGTGTGCCAGAGGTTAAAGACGTTGGAATTAGTGTTATGTCCTTCTATGGAATCTGCATTTTTATTTGCCAAAAAAATTATAAAAGGAAACAAATTCATTCAGAAAAGGGGAGACAGGAGAGGATGTTAGGATGGTATTACTTGGTTGTTACTTACCACCCAGGAGCTACAGCTAACTGCTTGTCAAGAGCTGCTGACAGCTCTTCAGGCACTGGGGTATAGGACCCAGGAGTGGGTCTTGCCATCAGCCAGCAGTGGGCGGCTTGAAGGGATGAGCACTCTGACACAGTGGCTTGAACACCCGTAGTGTACAACTTAAGCCTTTGTCCTGGAAATAAGTGTTCTTTTTCATGTAAAATGCTCTTATTATGTTTCCCACATTTGTCATTATGCACTGTATATAAACAAGAGAAGATAATTTATAAAATCCATGAAATTATAAGCATGGAATAACAAATGAATATTCAAATCAATACTGGAATTACTAACGTTTTATGTTGGAATTTTTTGCTGAAATCTGATTCCTTGAACTAATTTTAAACTGTGCTCTCATTTTTATTAGGAGTTAGACCTTTTGCTTGTCCTCACTGTGACAAAAAGTTTCGCACCTCAGGCCATAGGAAGACCCACATTGCTTCCCACTTCAAACACACAGAGTTACGCAAGATGAGGCACCAGCGCAAGCCTGCCAAGGTCCGTGTGGGCAGGACCAGCGCTCCAGTCCCCGACATCCCTTTGCAGGAACCGATTCTCATAACTGACTTAGGTAAGAGGCACCCGAGGAGTCAGCACGGGCTCCGATGTGCATGTTTAGTGTGTCAGCCACGGGCTGAAGACACCTTTGTTGAGCACTGTTTTGTCTGTGAGCTAGTATTTTTCACAGTCAAGGTAAAAATCATAAACTATTGCTCAAATTATGTTTTGGTTCAAAGAGAAGCACTGTGTGTGTGGAGGTATGCCAGTCTTCATTAAATGTTCTGCCTTGCTGACACCATCAAGGTGACAAGGGGTTTTTAATGTAAAACATGTGGCATGTTTTGTGTTTATTTGTGAAGTCCCACAAGGTGTGTGGCACAGTGAAGCAGTTTGGGCTGCTTTAATCTTTGCATTGAAAAGAAAAACCTGCCTGCTTTTAAGTTCTCTTTAGGCTCAGTATATTATATAATCAAGCCAAATCATGATTTTGTTAATTCGCCAGAAAGAGAGCACTGTTTACCAGTATCCTTGGGAAAATGATCTTTTTAAGTACTAGAGGAAAATATAAGAAACCTCATTTTAGTGAGGTTTGGTCTGCTATAACAAAAATAGCGTAAACTGACCCCTTCTAAGTAACAGACATGTACTTCTCCCACTTGTGGCAGCACCTCTCGTTGGTCTGGTGTGCGTGTGCACGTGGAGGAAGGAGGGGCAGGCAGCTACCCAGGGCTTTCCATAGAGGACCCTGATCCATCCAGGAGGGCTCCCCCGCAAGGCCCCATCAACTTCTTAAGGCCCCCCTCATTGTACTGTCCCATTGCGGGCTAGATTTCAAAATATGGATGTTTTGAGGGGACACAAACATTTAGACTATACCACTAATTAAATTCTGTGTATGAATTCAGATTTTTATGCAGTCCCTGTATAATTTCCTAGGTAAGATAATCTAGTCTATAAGCAAAATTAGTATCAGACAAAATATAATTTAGAATAAAAAAATTTAAATAGTATGTAGAGATATATTTTAGATATGAATTATAGACCTTCAATAGCTGATCAGTAGTCATGAATGCTATATATTTAACAGCATGACATTAACACGTATTAACTAAAGTGATCAGAAGGAAAAAGTGTTTAAGTTGTTAAGTATAATGAGAGATTCGCAACTACTAAAAAGATCAATTTTAGATAACACAGTAAGAAGATTTGAATACACACATTAAAAAGGATATTTTAATACTTTGTACAATCTTTTCCCTTATATTACACATTCTCAAATATACATGAAATAAAAGTCCACATTGTAGGGTTCAGGAAAATTTCACTCAAAAGTGGATGCTGATTACAATTCCATGAAAGCATGAATTAAGGAAATAGCTATCTAAAATTTAATTTTAAGGAAAAGAGAGACTCAAAATTGAAATCATGTTTATAAATGGGAGCAGTATATAAACAGATCAGAGAGACCAAAGGTGTTCTCAGAAAAATTAAGGCTTTTGAATATTTTCTATTAAAAAATAAGAATGAAAATAAATAATAGTTAACTCATCAGCTAGAAAAATGGGGGGTGAGTTGGGGGAAGAGAACAAAGGAATTAATACATATAAAAGAATTTGAAACAAATTTGATAATTTTACAAACTTAAAAAAGTGAGCCAGGTGCAGTGGTGCACACCTATAATCCCAGTGGCTCCGGAGGCTAAGACAGGAGGATTGTGAGTTCAGGGCCAGCCTCAGCAACGGTGAGTTTGCTAAGCAACTCAGTGAGACCCTGTCTCTAAATAAAATACAAAATAGGGCTGGGGACGTGGCTCAGTGGTTGAGTGTCCCTGAGTTCAATCCCCAGTACCAAAAAAAAAAAAAAAAAAAAAGTGAATAGTAAAATAGATAACTTGTCATTGGTAAACTAAAGGGAAAGTGAAATATTGGGAATGAAAAATTGTATCTGTAAACAGAGATACAATTGAGATGAAAATTGTTTGCAAACACGTACAATTAGTTGCTAAAGCATTTGAAAATTTGGTTGCAGTGGCTCTTTTCCTGGATAATGTACTGGCCATAATTGACCTTAGAAGAAACAAGAAACTTGCACCATAGGCAGATGGGCAGGTGGTGATGGCTGGGGTGCTGCAGCTCCCAGCTCTGAGATCAGGAGGGTGTGCTTTGCTCACCTCCCGGGAGGCACAAGTGTCAGGGTGCGGTTGTTTGATGTTGTGGAGCATGAGCCAGACTCCCTGGGTGTCTGGAGGAGGGGTTTTCATATCCTCTTCTAGCTGAGCGGCTTACAGAAGAACAACCTCCTTTTGGGTCAGTGTAAGTTGAAACAAGTGCCTGTGAGTCTGTGAAGCCTTAACTGAATTCTGTTACAGTTTTGATTCTACATTTTTTCTGGGTTAAGTGGAACCTCTGCTGGGCCTTCCTAGTGCTGCTCCTTGGCCCATTATGGCAGCTGAACTCTGCTGCCTGGGCTGTGAGGAACACAGGAAGCCTTCCCCAGAGGTGGTGGCATGCTGCAGGGTGCAGTGTCACACCTGTTTCTCAGCTCGTGCTTTTGGAGGTTTACAGCAAAGACCTGACGGGGTGGAGTTGAGGAGAACGTGTAGGGAGGATGTTAGCGTCAAGTGCTCAGGTCTTTGACTTGATGTAGCGATTTACAGCACAACCGGATGTCTTACACCGACACTGTCATTTTAAAAAACATTGGAACGCGTTACGATTATGGTGGCCAGTGTTTAGCCTCTGACATTAAGGAAGAGGGTTGGATGCATGGTGTCACGTGGCACCTGTGTTTTAAAATGTGTACCACTGCCAGGGAACATAAACTGTCTTCCACAGCTGCCCACACTCGCTCTTCCTCATTGCTGTGGATGGAAACTCCCGTCTAGGCGGGTTTGCAACTTTGTTTGGGTTGTGCCGCTTGCTCATGCCCGTGGGGTACCTAGAGCCGAGTCTTCTGGCTTCTGGGTTCATCTGAGACAGAGTCTTTTCCACATCCTCTGCCAGTGTACTGCTGCTTGCGAGGCCAGGGAGGCGTGCACTGAACCTAGAGAGCGTGACTTAGAGCTCTGCAGGATGGCATCTGCTGCACTCTCAGTGTGCTCTTCCCCGAAGCCAGGGACTGCAGTTAAATACTGTAAGGTACAGACAGGGATGTGAGTCATAACCCAGTCTGAGAGTCTCTCGTCCGTAGTACTTGGGAACAGAAATGTTTTGGATTTGGGGTGTGTGTGTATGTATGTGTATACATATGTGCGTGCGTGTGTGTGTATATATATATATAAAGTGAAATGTTTGGGGATGAATCTCAAGTCTGAAGGTGAAGTTCATTTATAGTTCATAGGCACATTACACACATAGCTCTTGGGGCATCCTGTTTGTTGGTGCTCAGAATGGTTCATATTTTAGAGTATTTTGGATTTCAGATTTCCAGATTAAAGATGTTCAACCTGTATTCTGTTCTATAGCTGCTTTTTGGTTTTCAAATCATGTATGTTATGTCCATTTCAACTATTTTTCTACCTTATATGACTATACGTGTGTGTTTATAGGTGTATAAAAATGTCACATGTGGGAAATGTCTTTCATTTATGTGAGCCAGGCTTTTATTATTTATCATTATTGTTCATTTATTTTTGTGGTACTAGAGATGCTTTGGGGCCTGTGCATGGTAGACACATGTTCTGCTACTCAGCTACATGCTCAGTCCTTTTTATTTTGAGACTGGGCCAAGTTGCCCAGGCTGGCCTTGAACCTCTGACCCTGCTGCTCAGCCTCCCGTGCAGCTGTGATCATAGGCGTGTGCGACTACACCTGGCTTGTTGTCTGTTATTTTAAACCCCAAGGCTGTACAGGTTGATCTCAAGCTCATATTTGATGTTTTAATCATATTAATGCACTGATCTTGCTTGTCACCTACACACTGTTCGAATGTGTGTCACATTTGCAGCACATGTGCTGGTGGCACGTGTGTCATGGTTTCCCACGATCCCCCTTCTGTGGCATCTGTACGGTTGCTTCTCACCGTGCGTGAAGTCTGTTGTAAGGTCAGTTATGAGGCCAAGCTTCCTAACGAGATAAAGCTCTTCTGGGTCTATTATGATAGAAGGACTTCTATGATAGTTCAAGGATGTTTCTAGTCTAGTTAGTTTTGTTACATTCATTAAATAAAATCTAATCTTGCCTTTCTTTGAGATAAGTTGTTGTCTTCTCAAGATCAAATATATTAAAGGACTGCTGGTCCAGTAGAGATGACTAACATAGTCAGCATCTTAGCACTTACATGTTTTATTTATTCTTAATTTGTTTCTTTAAAGAATGAAACCTCATAATTAGCGTAATTATTAATTTTACTAACTTTGTTTATTCAAATTAGCAAAAGTAAAAATGAAGCATTTGAAAAATGACTGTTATTTTACTTAATGTATCAAATTAGGAACTTCTGCCCCAGAAGGGCTCAGAATCACATTGGGATCTGTTTAAAAAATGCATGTACCTGGGCACCATCCCAAAGATGAAAATTGCATGCTTGGGAGGAAAAACTAAAGCAGTTGTGTACCCAAGGGTTGTTGTGGTGGTGTTCATGCTAGTGGAAATATTCCTCCTACCGGCGTTCAGTGCATCTGGCACCTCCACACAGCGCAACCTGGGCAGATGTCCAGAGGACAGTGTGGAGCGGCCTGGAGAGGTGTCAGGTGTCGGTACGGAGTGTGGCCAGGTGATTACAGAACGGAGCGTGTGGAGATTTGCATAGAACTCCACGTGACTGCCTGCTTGCTGCTGTCTTGCATCATTGGTGGTCCTCTGAGTAAGCATTGGAACTGTAAAGTTTGCCAAGCCCAATAGTGACCAAAGGCATCACCTTAGTTGCATTTTGTTTTTTCTGTTTGTAGTTTTTTGGAGAATAGCCACATTAGTTTTTTTGTTCACCTTCCTGAACCTACTGTGGCTCCCTGAACCGAATGAATATCAAATAAATGTCAACCATAAGACCATTAATAAATGAGCCTGGTTTGAATTTGTACTTAACTGAATTTTCCTAATATCTTAGGTGCTGAGAACAAGAGTTAGTTCACTCAGTTATATTTGTGTGTCCTCCTATTTGACAGTATTATGTGAACTCACATACTTGACTTAGGGTTGAAAACTTATGGCCTAGTGGAGTGGAGAAAAGATGTGATACCAAGTGTGAGTGACAGGTGCTGAAGTAGGAATAAGTACAAATAAAGAGACGAGAGGAGTGGGGTTTGCTGGGGAGTGGTGAGAGCATAAAGGTACAGAGGGTATGGTAAGTTGCGTAGTGGGTCAGCAGATGATTAGATGGTTGTGTAAGTGGGTGAAGGAAGAGATGGTGGGTGGATGACTGCATGGATGGATGGGTGATAGTGGAAATGGAGATGAAGAAGCAGGTTTAAGACACAGTGGGACAGTGTGATCTCCGGGACTGCGAATGGCAAATGGCACATGCAGTCAGACAGGGAAGGGAGTTCTCAAAGGTTCTAAAAACCTAGCCTCGTGGACGGGGAGAATGGTGTTCCACGCATTCACTTGGGAAAGTGGGGGAGCACTAGGTTCTAGGGGAAAGAACTGAAACAACCTGTACTTCTGGGAGAGTCAGGAAACTATCGTAAGTGATGTGTCATTATCACATAGAAACTAGTGTTCCCGCTGGAACAGGTGGAGGAGGGAAAGGGAGAGTTGGAGCCAAGGGCAGAGTGTGGGCAGGAGGAAGGATAGTCCAAGACTGGCCAGAACTGAGTGTTAGGTGACTATGAAGTGACCCAAAAGTTGACATCTAAGTTTGTCCTGAATGACAGATATAACCCACAGGCTTCCTTGAATCCTATTTATAAATGAGCAAACCAAGAGAACCCTTTCTCGAATTAAAAGCATGTAAATTCGGAAATAATTCTTTGTAATTTTGCTATTTGCAGATTTTGTAGAAGGAAATTTCTGAGACGATGCTGATGTTTTTAGAACAGAAGATCGTGTTAGAAGCAGTGGTGTTTTGAATTCGTCAGAGGAGCTCATGGGCAGCATACATATTGAATAAATAAGGGGTCTCACATCCTGATCTAAATTTAGGATATAGCTATGTAAATTCCATGTCAGCCAGTGCCTTTACAGCACACAAATAAAGGTATTCACAGGAAACTGGCCGCAGACTCCAGTGAAAGAATTGTGACAACAGACAGACTCCTCATGTTGGTACAAAGCATGTCCATGTTTTCCTCTTTCTCCTAGGTGTTTGCATAGTTTCTAACACATCACAGTAGCACTTGGCTGCAGCACTGGCTCTACAGCACATTCATGTTTTCACCTTCAGGGTAACAGGTGCCTTTCGACATTTAATTTTACTAGTGCCGACACTGAATGATTTCTGCTTTTTTTTTTGGTTTGCAGGTCTTATCCAACCCATTCCAAGAAACCAGTTTTTCCAAAGTTATTTTAATAATAATTTTGTAAATGAAGCGGATCGACCATACAAATGTTTTTATTGTCATCGAGCGTATAAAAAGTCCTGCCATCTTAAACAACACATCAGGTAAGTTGTAGGTCTAGAGAGGGAGTTCACTGTAATCCGGAAATTTGGTGGTCTGGTGATCTCTAGAAGTAATTGGAATAGTACTGTTAGGTTTTAGTATTTAAAATGTCATATTTCACCCCCAAATGTTGCTAATTGATATTTTTATTCTTTAGTGTCTCAACTAAAATATTTTACTCAGAAATTACCACTGAATTCTATTTGTATTCCCATTATATTTTAGTATTTGCGGCTTTCAGGAAATATCCAAGAAGCATCTGTTTTATTTGATGAGATTGCAGTTAAGGTTTTCCAGCGCATTCAGTGGAGCTTTATTCTTGGTGCTAGCTGGAGCACAGATAAAGATCCTGCAAGGGGTGGTGCTGGAGGAAGGCTGGAGCCCATGGAGACGGCGTGGCAGCTGTATGCCCTGGGCTCCTCTGCCGCTTGGCCTGCAGCATGGTGAAGGGAATGCCATCTTTCTTTTAGGTCACACACAGGTGAAAAGCCTTTCAAGTGCTCTCAGTGTGGAAGAGGCTTCGTGTCTGCAGGAGTGCTCAAGGCGCACGTGAGGACGCACACGGGCCTCAAGTCCTTCAAGTGTCTCATCTGTAATGGAGCCTTCACCACTGGGGGCAGCTTGCGCAGACACATGGGCATTCATAACGACCTCCGGCCCTATATGTGTCCCTATTGCCAAAAAACCTTTAAGACCTCGCTGAACTGCAAGAAGCACATGAAAACCCATAGGTAGGTATACTTCTGATTGTAATTCCCTGGTGGTGGGGGCGTCTTTTTAATTTTGAATCCGTGCTGTTATTTCTCACCTTGAGTATGTGGGCTAAAGAAACTGAACTGTCAGTAACTGGGGACCTGCTGAGTGCCACACGCACAGCGCCAGTGTTTTGAGGCAGTCTGTGTTGGGCTAAACCCCTAGTGTGGCTCCCTCTCAGAGATGACCTCTGGTACTTAGATGAGATCTTGGACCCTGCCTATCACAGTCAGGAGGTGAAGTTCTGATCAGCGCTGTGCTTTCTAGGAGTGTGATTGGTGAATCTTGGAGGTGATTGTTCTTCACTTGCACTTGAACATGTATCTGGGGCAGCCTGTGGAACCTTCGTTGAGTAGCAGCTGCTCATCTCCGAGGGGTCCTTTCTGGCTAGAGCTGGGCTTTCACACAAGGGTTCCTGAGGAGTGTGGTGGTGTGCAGTCATGTCGAGCCATGAGGTGGCCGCCTCTGGCTTACGTGAAATTAAGCCCTTGGCACCCAGAGAGTGCTACGCTCTTTCGCCCGGGGACATTTACTCTAGGAGTCCCAGTAGTCTAACCCAGATGCGTCTGCCTGGTGTCCCTGTGACCCAGACCCTAGTGTTAGAGTGACTGGACTGTGCTGGTTTGGTGGTGTTCGGTGTCTTACGGATCTGAGAGCCGGGCTTGCTTGTCAGCTTGGCTTCCTTGAGGCAGCACCGTCGGTCTTAGCCTGCAAACTCACCTCTGCTGGGGACTCTCAGGGAGCTCCATATTGGTGGTGCCATTTAGTGGCCCTCACAGCAGCACGCTCTGTCGTACTGCACTGTGGGTTACGAGGACATTCTGTGATGTGCATGTGTTTGAGAACTGGATGTCTGTGTTGGTGTAGACACTCGGGATGCTTGGCTCTGCTCGTGCAGCAGGAAGATGGGTCCCCATGTGGCTAGGGGGCTGTGCCATTAGAGAGGACAGGAGCCGAGTCCTTGTGTGCCCCAGCGGTGTGTTGAGTGCCATTTTCCTCCATCAGGAAGCCTGGCCTTGCGGTGTTCCTCCTGGGATAGGGCTGGGAACATGGGGCCCGAGCCCCTCGTTGGTGCGGTTATAGGGCCAGCTGTGTGACATGGAGCCTCGTGTAGACAGTGTTTGTCATGGTGACACTGAGGGCTGCCTGCAGTGGGTCTTTGCAGCATTTGACTTTGTGGTGACAGTGTGCTGGCCGGTTGGCCTGCCGTGGTGCTTTCCCCTTTAGATCATGTGCTTTTGGATCTTCCCATAGGGAGGGTCCCTTTGACATATTGCAGAAAGTTCCCAGAGTACTACACGTTACATGAAAGATGGATGCACATAGTTACAGTCGTCAGGTTGTGGGGAAGAACCCAGGCAGACAAGCATTAAGCGCCTCTCCCACCCACCATGTGAGACCCACGCCCTTGGAATCATGGTGGAGTCTGATGTCTCTGCGTCACTGCCCAGAACTGTGGTGGCAGAGGCTGGGTAGCATGCTTTCTTTTCTTTCTTATTATTTGTTCTTTTTTAGTTATATATGACAGTAGAGTATATTTTGACATATTATACATGCATGGAGTTGAACATTCTAGTCAGGATCCCATTCCTGCAGCTGTATATGATGTGGAGGTCACTGCTCCTGTATTCATATGTGAACATAGAAAAGAGGTGTCCAGTTCCTTCTACTGTCTTTCCCATTTCAATCCCCGCTACCTTCCCTTTATTTCTCTTTGTCTAATCCAGTGAACTTCTATTCTTCCCTACCACCCACCCTTATTGTGGGTTATTATACACATGCTAGAGAGAAATTCAGCCTTTGGTTTTTTGGGATTGGCTTATTTTACTTAGCATGATGGTTTCCAGTTCCGTGTTCACCAGCAAATGCCATAATTTCATTCTTCTTCATGGCTGAGTAATACACCACTGTGTATATGTACCACATGTTCTTTATCCATTCATCCTTTGAAGGGCATCTAGGTTGGTTCCATAGCTTAGCTATTGTGAGTTGAGCTGCTGTAAACTGCATGTGGCTGGATCACTGTAGTATGCTGATTTTAAGTCCTTTGGGTATAAACCGAGGAGTGGGATAGCTGGGTAAAATGGTGGTTCCAATCCTAGTATTTTGAGGAATCTCCATACTGCTTTCCAGAGTAATTGCACTAATTTGCAGACCCACCAACAGTGTCTGAGTGTGCCTTTTCCTCCAAGTCCTCGCCAGCATTCATTGTTGCTTGTACTCTTGATGATCACCATCTGACTGGAGTCAGATGGAATCTCAGTGTAGTTTTGATCTGCATTTCTCTGATTGGTGATGTGCTTTCTGACTCCTGACCTAGATGACTGAGAATTGACTCCAGGAATGACTGGAGGTAGGGAGGAGCATCTGAGGAGACAGCCTGTGGTGGTGCTCGGGGGGGTCTGACTGCGGTCGTAAGGCAGGGCGGAGCAGATAGCCCCTTGGTCAGGTGGCAGGTGTGCTGTCAGTCGGTCAGTCAGTCACTGTTGATCTTTCCCTCTGAAGGAGAAGTACCATGATGAATACATACTGGATGGGTCTTGTGCATGCAGATGTTGCTATGAGCAGCATTAGCACCAGGCCATCTGGGAACATGGCTCGTGACGGGTCCTGGACCACGGGCTGAAGTGCCCTTGCTTGTAATTCTCAGGTTGGTCTAGAGAGGCGCTGGCCAGGATGGTGGGGTTCTGAGAAGTTGAGCCCACGGCAGAAGTGAGTTGGGAGTTCCGGTGTTAAGCATGTTGCCACTTTGAGTTTCTGGTGTGTCTTGGGCCCCCTCTCTAGGAGCCTCTGTGTCCTGTGGTCTTTGACGGCTCTAGAAGTAGTGCGACTCCCTTCAGAATGATTAGCAGTGTGTACATGTTAGCTGGGTCACTGTCATGACTTCAAAATGAAGCAATTTAAGAATAAAATGTTTTTTTAATAAGTCACAACTTTTGTGGTCAGATCCTCAGGCAAGTATGGCCAGGTGTCTAACTTTGTGAATCGTCGTTGCTTTTTCTGAAGATATGAACTTGCCCAGCAGCTGCAGCAGCACCAGCAGGCCACCTCAGTGGATGACAGCACCGTGGACCAGCCGAGCCTGCAGGTGTCGGCTCCCATGCCAGTGGAGATGGAGGGGGCCCAGCTGCAGCAATCGGCCGAGCCTGTCCCCACTGACCCTGAGGCTATGCTGGACCTGGGGTCGCAGCACGTGGTGGGCACAGAAGAAGCGGCACTGGGGCAGCAGCTGACAGATCAGCCTTTGGAAGCGGATGAAGGTGAGTTTCGGGAGTTTCAGCCCCCGCAGGGTTTTGCAGTGCTATTGGGTATTTTACATTTCTCCCTGTGCTCTCCAGTCGCTCTTTGCCCTTCAACTTTACTAGGTTTTTAAGGGCAAGGATTTTTGTTGGTTTTAAACACAAAGAGCATTTGAAATCTTAGGGCTCCAGCAAAGTCTACTGACCAGTTCTAGTGCAGTTCCTTTCAGTTTTTTCAAGTGAATGCACAGACACTCTGTTGAGTGTGCACCTGTAATCACACTCCACGGTCTTCCTGTGTGTGCTTTATGACCTACCCGTGTCACTCATATGTCCCGCACCTCCTTCCTCCTAGTGCGTGTCTGCACATCAGTTGATTTCTGTGACAGTTTCCGGGCACAGAGTCATGCAGGCTGATGCAGCTCAGAGAAGGGTCCATTGCTGGTCTGCAGAGAGGTCAGGTGCCTGATTCCTGATATAAAGCAACACATGGCTTCCTTCGTCAATATAGTCTAGTGCAAAAAAAGTCACCTCGGCCGCGGCAGTGTGCACAGTGCTGTGACGGTTTGCTCTCTCACACAGCTCTTGCCTCACACAGGCCTGTCAGCCTTCAGTTTGCCGACCTCAGGGATGTCTCCGTGTTCCTGTAGTCTGTGGGCAGGATTACACACTGTTTGCCCTCCGTGACGCCTGGAGTAATGGGTACCCAGCAGGGTTTCAAGTGGTTCTGGGGGCAATTGCTTTATAGAAGTATCACAGAGCAATGGCCACAGCCTCCCTATTGCTTTTTCAAAATAAAGAGGCTAACTTTTGAAAACGCAGTGAAATACACCTTTGAACAAATTTATGTGTCCAAAAGTGAGTGGCCTCAGCGTATAAACTGCCCTTTTCTTTGTGTTCTTATACTTAGATGGGTTTACAGCCGCCCAGGACCCTCTCCCAGGGCACATGGACCAGTTTGAAGAGCCGACTCCCACACAGCAGTCCTTTGAGCCATCAGGGCTATCTCAAGGTCAGTGGGTAGGGTGAAGTGGACAAACCAGCTGACCTACATGGGGTTCACTTTCACGAACCACATTTCTGTATTTCTCTGAAGTCCCTTCTAGAATTTATGATTTCAAACCAAATAACTTTAGCATATATTATGCAATATTTTAAAATTGATAATATACCATGTTGTGGTGTGGTCAGATCTTCTGCAAAATGACTTTCACAACCATTCCATGAATGTTCTAGCCAGAGAAGGCGATGAGTGGGAGTCAGGATGTGGTAGTAGGTGAAGTCGGTGACTGGTTCCCAAAGCCTGCACCAAAGTGATTTGGGGGGATACAGACCATCCTAGAGCTGCTGGCACAAGTGGATTCTGATTCTCAGAAAGTAGAAATGTACCTTTAGACGTTTTTTATTTATAACTCAATTTAAAAATTTTTTTTTGTATAAAAACTGTCCTATTTTCTGTAGAGCTCTCTTTGTAATGCATTTCAGGTTTCACAGTGAGCGACACATACAATCAACAGGCTGAGTTTCCACCTGTGCAACAACTACAAGATTCCAGTACTCTTGAGTCCCAAGCCCTGTCCACGAGTTTCCACCAGCAGAACCTGCTGCAGGTTCCAAGCTCTGACACGATGAACGTAGTGAGTGTTTGCAGAGGATGGTGCCAGTCGTTACCTAGTGGATACTGGTCTGTCTTCTCTGTGGTTAGAGTTTGCCTACTTACAAGGGCATGCCCACTTCTGGTACTTCTAAGACTAGTGCATCACCTGGGGAACCTCAGTGTGTAGCATGCAAGCTTTCTCCTTAAAATGTCTCCACTTGCTTAATGAGTTCAGCACCATGAGGTGGCTTTACCTTTTCAGCTAAAAGCGAGGAAGTCAGTAAGAGTGCAATAAAATTTGAAGGATATGGCTTTTGCACAAAACCTAAGTATTTTTGTTTGTGGAATCTTAAAAGGAATAAGTTAGAAATCAAGTATTACGTAATTAAAATTTTTAATATCTTATTCAAATTGGAGATGTTTAAATTTGATTTTTCTGTTATTGGAAATTTTTTAATAGTGATGAAAATAATTGACCTGTCAATCATTGTCTTTTTTCCTTAAAATCTCATAGTAGCTTTGCCCAGTGGTAGGCCTGAAGACGGCAGAGTGCTTTCTCATGGGCAGACACTGTGTGGCTGGCGCAGGGGCTCAGCGTGGTGGAGAGCATGCTGCTCAGGAGCTTCTCCTCATCCAGGGCCCTCTTAGGAAGCTGCTTGCACGGGGCGGGGCGGTAGCAGAGTGCGTTGTCCCATGTGGTCATGGACATCAGGCAAAAATCAGAAGCAGCCCTTACTTCCAGCACCACTAGTGGGCTCCACTGTTTACTCGCTGCCCTTGCCGTCCCGGTGTCCGAGGCCTAGCTCACCCTCTGGGATCCGGAGTGGTCAGCGAGCCTTAGCCAGGCTGAGCTGTGACCCTGTGTTGGGGGAGGGGTTACCGTGACTATTCCCTGTGTGTGTGACTATTTCTGGGGTGGATGGTGGGTCCTTTTTCTTCCCTTGTGGCTTTTGTGACAGGAGAGACAATCTTTTCAGAAAGTGGGATTTTCATTCACTGCAAGTGTGTTAGTCATCTCTCCATCACTGTGACAAAATAGCTGAAAGAAATCACTCAAAAGGCTCCTGGTTTCAGGGGTTCAGTCCCTGGTGGGTGGCCTGTCATTCAGGCCTTTGCTGAGGCACAGCATGGGGTGGAGCGTGGTGGGGCCACGCCACTCACCTCATGGTGGTCAGTAGGCTGAGGGCTGGGGAGGGGCTGGATCCAGTGTCCCTGCCAGGGCGCACTCCCAGTGGTCTCATTCCTGCCACCAGGCCCACTTCCCAGTGGCAGCACAGGCTGGAGACCATGCCTTTAGCACGTGGCCTTTGGAGGGACATCTGCAATCTAGACTGCAGCAGCCAATGAGAGTCCAGCTGACTCGAGTGTCTCTCCTCAAATAAGTCAGTCTGGGCATCAAGGAGACCGTGCCTTACCACGGGCCAGAGAAAGCCAGCACTGCTGCTCAGGGCTGTCCGTGGTCTTGTGGCCGCTGCAGCCCAGCTTCTGCAGGGGACTGTGCATCCTGTCCACGCTGCTGGCCGCTGCATCCCTTTCATGTTCACAGACTGCTAAGCTCTCTCCTCCTGCTTCTGTTCACTTCAGACTGCTCGCTTGATTCAGGAGTCGTCCCAAGAGGAGTTGGACCTGCCGACACAACGCCCCCAGTTCCTGGAGGACGGCGAGGACCAGAGCCGGCGCTCTTACAGGTAGAGCCACCCAGCTGGCTTCTAAGTGCAGTGTTGGTCACCTGCGGGCTTGGCTCCCTTGGACCCTGTGAAACAGGGTTGGTTGTCACCCCGCTTCCTCTGGGATCTGGGACAGCAGAGGTGACCTTGACACAGCACTGCTAGTGAGGGCCAGGGCAGTTTTTCTTCAGCATGTGCACACTTAGAATCCTTTGCCACAGCTTCCTGTCACCATTGTAATTGTTGTTATGTGGTAGCACGTTTGTGCTCAAGACTGTGCATTCTAGGAACAGCTGTGCCAGGGCACGGGGTTGATCTGTCTCCAGGTTGTTGGCCCTGTGGAGCACCATGTGCCCACTGTACCATGGAGGGCCCTGGCAAAGGTCCGACAGGGAATAAAACAGCTATCTTACAAAATCAAAGATGAATAAAACTGAAAAAACTGAAATGAGCATCGTCCATAGAGATAGCCTAGGTTCTGTGATATTTTCATAATTTTATTATTTTCTTAAAGTACTTTTTTAAACTCTTAAACCTTATTTTCAGAGTCATTTGACAACAACAACAAAAAGAGGACATTTAACAACAACAGCAACAAAAAAAAACACCAGGTCATTTAATAAAAAGCCCCTCTTTTCACCTGAGCACCTGCCAGGCCGAGACTCTTGTCCCTTGGAGAGGGGCAGGTTTGGGTCTTTGTTGCTGGGATTGACGGTTGGGAAGAATGGCATGCCAGGTGGTCCTCTCCACCAGGCTGGCATGGGGGCGTTCAGGCGAGAAGTCCACATTTGAGAGTTATCAGTACAGAGACTAGTACTTCATGCCCCAAACAGAAGGGGTTCAGGCTTGTGCCCTGGCCACTCACGAGGAGGTGAGTGGGAGAGGAGCAGCTAGGGGTGGGCGGGCTGCCCGAGGGTGAGTGGCAGGAACTTGGGTAGTGCCGAGGTGCAGAGTCTTTCTCTAAGACGCTGCAGAACCTAGGACATGTAGCTGTCCTTTCCTGTAGTGGGACCAGTTTAGGCAACAGCACGCCTCCCTGGGGATGGGGTCCCAGGCAGACTTGCTCCAGGTGGGCTGGGCCCCACTCTGCACCTGGTTTCACGGGGAGACTCCTCAGAGTCATGTCATGGTGAGTTGATAGGCAGCTGCTGGATGGTAGATCTAGGCAGTTGGTTAGACATGTTAGAGAAACAGTAATTTTAATCTCTTTAGTAACTACCGAGAGGGAAATAATACCGCATAGTTACAGACTCAGAATAACTCTAGTACAATCCGTTTCCTTAAAGTTTAACCAAAAACGTATGTGGATTGGCATTTCTGGAAATCTAGTCTTGGGAGTAGGAAGCACCAACTTTGTGAAAGCAGCAGCTCACAGTGATTGTGCTACTGTTGGGTTTGGGAGAGTTTCTGATGAATCGGGTATTTTGTCTGTCGGGGAGTCATTGGAGGAGTTGTTAATTTGGAAAGAATAAAGCACGTTAAGACCCCGACACCCCCGCAGAACCTGATGTGGCAGGTTGTCCCGCCATTGGTGCTGTCTGTTGTGTTGTCCAGGTGGGCAGTAAGCCTGACCTCAGTGCGCTGCGGCTCCCTCTGCAGCGGGGCCTGGTGACCGTACTCTGAACTCTCTGTTTGGTTGCAGATGTGACTACTGCAACAAGGGCTTCAAGAAGTCCAGCCACTTGAAGCAGCACGTGCGGTCACACACAGGAGAGAAGCCCTACAAGTGCAAGCTCTGCGGGCGCGGCTTCGTCTCCTCCGGCGTCCTCAAGTCCCATGAGAAGACACACACAGGTCACTGTCTGCTTGGCACGCAGGGACTAGGCTGTCTTGTTTTTAGCACAACAGCTCTGCTGAGATGGGACCCTCGTGCCGCCATTACACCAGCTCCTGGTTGCTGTTGGGGGGTTCGGTTTGTCCAGAACCCTGCAGCCCCCGTTTCAGTTTAGAACTTCTTTGTCTCTGACCCTGGAGGTCCACACTTTCTCCCCTTGACCTGCCTTTGTCTTCACGGACTGGTCTGTGTGAGCATTCCGTGTAAGTGGCTCGTGCCACCTGTGGTCTCGTGACTGGCTTCTTTCACTTGGCCAGCACGTTCAGGGTCATCCATATTGTGGCACGTTTCAGTACCGCTGTCCTTTCTATGGCCAGCGTATCCCTTTCTGTGGCCACTTTTCATGCACATGTACCACCTGTCGTCAGGGGACATCTGGATCGTTTCCATTTTTTGACTGAAGAATCATGCTCTTGACCTCAGAACCTCTGTTTCTATGTGGCCACGTGTCTACCTGGGAACGGAATCTCTAGGATGTAGGATGATGCTTTTTAAGGTTTTGAGCCTATTCAGCTCTTTTCCAAAGTGGCTGCACATTTTGCTTGTCCACCAGGAAGCGCGTGTGGGCCTGGCCTGCTCCACGTTTACACCAGGCTCACTGCCAGTGCCTTTTACTGTGACCATGCGGGGCAGGTTCAGCGCCGGCTCCTTGTGGTTTTGATGTGCATCTTCCGTGGCTCATGTGCTATTTGAGAAATGTCTATGCTAATCCTATGTCTACTTCAAAGATTGCTTGTCTTAATAGTTACTGAGTTGTAAGAGTTTTTTTTAATATATTTTGGTCACTGGACCTTTATCAGATATATGGTTTACGATTGTATATCTTGAGTGCATTATATTTATCCGTTGAGCACATCCAACATACTTAGTCAACATCAGTAGTGTACACGTTTAATATAGGTATGGATTCTGTAGAGGGCTTTGTTTGAGAATGAAGGTGTGTCACTTAGACATATCCTCGCAAGCAAAGAGGAGAATTCTCAGGAGTGCCTCCATAATGTAGAGGCTGGGGAGTGGCGTCAAGGCTGCTGGGAACACTGGTGTAGCAGAGGCCCAGGAGCCGCCAAGGGCCAGGGCTGGGGTGGCCACACTCCTTTCTGGATCCTTCCTTGAATTGCTGGAAAGGAGGGAGGGGCTGGGGTCGGCCTTCCCAAAGGTGAAGCCACAGATGCCCAGTAGACTCTTCCTAGGGCCTGAGGCATTTGCTGTGGCAGTGAGGTGAAGACAAACTCGAGGAAAGGTCACTTGGGTCAAACTGTACACACTGTGTCAGCTTCAGTGAAAATGCTGACGATGGAGAACACTAGGTGTTTTTGTGTGCTAGGTAGGGATTGAACCCAGTGGTGCAGTACCACAGAGCCACATCCACAGCCCTTTTTGTTTCTTTATTTTGAGACAGGGTCTCGCTAAGTTGCCGAGGCTGGCCTCGAACTTGCGATCCTCCTACCTCAGCCTCCTGAGTAGCTGGGATCATACTGCGCCCGGTGACTTGGTTTGTTTTGAGAAACGTCTTCTCAGAGGCTGTTAATGTCAGTAGAGAATATGGTAAGATGTGCTCTGTCAGTTTCCATGTTCCTAACACAGTCCAGTTCCTAAAGCTCGGAAACCACAGCACACACACGGTCTGAGTTGTAGCTTACTGAACATGTCTATGCTTTGCGTGCATATGGCCTGAGGCGGTCGGATTCTCCCCAATGGCTGCTGTCTCCTCTGTCGTCACAGGGGTGAAGGCGTTCAGCTGCAGCGTCTGTAACGCCTCGTTCACCACCAATGGCAGCCTCACGCGGCACATGGCCACACACATGAGCATGCGGCCGTACAAGTGTCCCTTCTGTGACGAGGGCTTCCGCACCGCGGTTCACTGTAAGAAGCACATGAAGAGGCACCAGACGGTCCCCTCTGCTGCGTCGGCAGCTGCAGAGACTGAGGGAGGAGGTATTTTCCATTTGTTGCTTCAAGGTTTATTAGCCAAATGCTGATTTAGTAATAAAGTCACATACGAATCTCCTGGAATGTTTAAACCTGTATATAGATTAAGCTTGGGAGCACCCTCAACTTTTAAAAAATAACTGTTTTCTGAGTATGAAACCCTCCATGCCTTTGGAAGAAGTTGAGAAAGGCCCTGGGCCGCCACAGGAGGTGCTGGCACGCGTGAGCTCAGGCACACTCCAGCCGTGTGACGTCTGTGCGTGCTGTTGGAGTCCACCTGGGCTTCTTTCCCAAAGCTTGCCGCGCAGGCGTGATTAGGTGGCCCAGGCCGTGCCAGGCGAGGCAGCTGCGTGGAGCAGCCAGCCTCCACCTCCCCCGAAGTCCTCATCAGCTGTCACGGCCTCTTCTCTGGTTGGCCCAGGACCTGTGCAGTGAGGGCGGCTGTGCCATGAGACTTCGCCCTCCCTCCCCCAGGGCCGCCCTCCTGAGGCCCTGGCCTCCGAGTTCCCGCCTTCCGAGCTCGCCAGGGTCCGTCCTCAGCAGGTCCCACTAGCGCACGTTGGCAGCACAGAGAGCGGCTCCCTGGTGCTGCCTCGCGGGTGCCTGCAGGCTCTGCTGAGGTTCCCCCTCGCTGTGCATCCCACAGGCCTGCTGCATCCTGTGGCCATGAGCGCTGCGCTTACCGCGGTGCTCTGTGCTTGCTGAGGGCGTGTTGTGCTGATGAGGGCACCAGGTCATTTGGTCAGTGTCTGGGGACCAGGTCTGCTTAGGACGTGGACCCCTGCCCCAGGGTACTGGTCCTTCCATCTGCTTGTAGCCAGCTGCTCACGAGGTCTCAGACCCTGACGGCCCCTGCATGTTCCCTTGAAGTGAGAGCAGCGTGGTTTTCTTCAGAATCCACCTTGCTTGCCTTCAAGAGGCAAAATCTGACCTCCACGCAGTGCAGCGGCCGCTCTGGGTTCCAGCTTCCGACCTCTGAACCTGGTGGAGTGGTCATGTGCTCGGGTTCAGTGCTTAGTAGAGCCTCTATTTCCACAGGTTAAATTCTGCCGTGAGGTTTAGTAAGGTGTAAAAAGCAACGGAGGTTTGCTTCAGATGAATAAAGAACACAGGACATGCAGGCATTCCATGTGGCTTGGAGGGTGCTCACTGGTCAGCCCGTGGGTAAAAGCCCTTGGTCCTGTCGTGGACACTCAGCATGCTGACGAGTTGGTGCCTTGGGATTGGCGTGGGTTCTGGCAGGCTTTGTGCCACTGCCTAAGTGCTGACGAACACCAGGACAGACCTGTTGCTGTCTCCTCCCATCTTGTGTGTGAGAAGCCACCTGTTGTCTGTTCCCGCACAGCTGGACTCCTGGGACAAGGCCTGACCCTTGGTTTCCTTTGGCAGTTGCGCTGTCAGCCTGTGCCGTCGATGCTCTCTTTTGCTTACCATGCTGAATCTCCTTGCACTTCTCTCCTTCCGTGGCTGGTGCTGTGTCGACATGTTCTTTTGATCCCTTAAAGTCCTCAGTCGTCCTCACTTGCATTGCCAGCCTCACAGGACCGTGTCATCCTGAGCTCAGCTGCCGGCCTTCTCCTCCCCGGGCCCCTGCTGCCAGCTCTGAGGACCACCAGTTGGTCTTCACTGGCTCTCTGGGGTTGGCACTGGCCTGCTATTCATGTTTCCGTTGAGTTCTGAGTGTCAGTCGTGCATGCCGCTGTGGTCTCCCCTCCCGTCACACGTTTTCCTGTTACGTTTCGTCGCGGCTTCTTCTTACTTTACACTTCACTCAGGCTGCCCAGACATACACGTGTGGATGTGTGTATTCCGTTTCACCTTGTTCTTTGCAGTGAGTTTCTTAACTGGGGCTCTGCTGCTTTATCAGCTTGGTCTCCCGTTTGGGGCTTCTGGTTTCCCTGCTGATGGCAGTTTGCTCTTGGCCTGTCCCTAAGTGACTGCATTTGTGAGCACTGCAGGCTCGTGCGGTTCCAAGCCGCCGGCTGGCCTTGTGTTGGGGTCAGTCCCAGCATCCTTGGGGTCAGCAGGCCCTCCCCAAGGCATGTCCTTCACATGCCGTTTTCTTCCATGATCTTGCCTGACTTTTCAGCAGGATCGTGGTGGGAAGGGCAGCCCTTACGTCCTTCAGCACAGCTCAAGTGGACTGTCCTGAACGTTACAGGCACAGCCAGTTGTCATCGACTTGTTCTGTGGAAACCTGGGCTTTGGTGAGGTTTTGATCCGTCTTCCTGTGTTTGGGTAGACATGTGCCTGGAGGAAGAGGAGGAAAATTCTGACAGAAGCGCATCGAGAAAGTCCCGTCCTGAGGTCATCACCTTCACCGAGGAGGAGACGGCCCAGCTGGCCAAGATTCGGCCCCAGGAGAGTGCCACTGTGTCTGAGAAGGTCCTGGTGCAGTCGGCCGCAGAGAAAGACCGCATCAGCGAGATGAAGGACAGGCAGGCGGAGCTCGAGGCTGAGCCTAAGCATGCCAACTGTTGCAGCTACTGCCCTAAAAGCTTCAAGAAGCCCAGCGACTTGGTGAGGTGAGGCACCTTCAGCCTTGTGGGCGGCTCTCAGAGACTTGAAAATACCCGCTGGGATTCCTGTGGCACTCCTCCCTGCAGTGAGGGAGGTTGGCTTCTGCACCGTTGCCCTGTGTGCAGGAGTTACGGTAGTGTTCCCTGCTGGAGTGGCGGGTTCCAGCCATGTTAACTCAGTAGTGACCTCATTCAGGATAGTAGCGGGAGGCCTGTTTCTCCATGGTTTGCTTGTGCATATTTCTGTGTGATTGTGGTCATAGCAGGAAATAAAAATATTTTTATATCGAGGAAGACAGAGTGCCAGGCTTTGAGGGTGTGCAGAAGAGCAGCAGATGCCCTCCTGCCTGGGGTTGCTGGTCTGTGTGAGGAGCACACCTCCAGCTAGAGACCAAGGAGTACTCAGGCCAACAGCCAGAGATGGGCAGTGGATGCAAGAGATAGAGCATGGCGGGTGGTAAGGAGGCCAGAAAAGGCGGAGTGAAGTTAGGAGGAGCTAAGGACTGTGCACCTGGGGAGGTCTAAGTCTAGACACGCTCCCCAGGTTCTGGAAGTTTCTAAATCTGAAGCAGGGCTGCTTAGTTGTACCTCCTAGAGCAAAAACTAGACAGATAGGCATAGAGCAGCTTGGTAGGTCCAGGTGGTGAGTGTGCAGACTGCTCCAGAACATAGATGGCGCATTTTCCACGTGCTCTGGACCCTCAGTGTGCTCTGCAGGGCTGTGGGGGCAAGGCGGGGAGGGGGCGTGGGTGTGGGTGGCACTGGGGACATGTGTATCCTGAGAGAAGGGGACGTGTGTTCACCCAGAGTGACGACAACAGTGCAGGTGGAGAAAGCCCAGAGCTGGCTCGTGTGGGCAGAAGGGCCTTGTGTGGTGAGCTCCTTGGGCCTTGAGCTGCAGCTCAGGATGGGCATCCAGGTGGTGTGCTCTGAGGTTGGGGGACACGGCACTAGAAAGTCAAGCCATGGAGGGAGTAGCCAGGAGAGTCTAGGTTTTAGGACTGGGACTGCAGCCTGGCCAGCAGTGTGGGGGGCCGGGAAGCTAAGGAACTGGCTGGCAGGGACAGTTCTGTCACCGAGAGAGTTGGCTGGGGGATCATGGATGAGACAGTTGACCTGACACCTGTGTGTGGGTGTTGTTGAGATGGTGTCTAAGTCTGCACCCCACTCAGAAGTCCCCAGGCCTGTAGGGAGGAGGTAGATGGAAACTGGGCCCTCCCTGGGACTGCGGGTCCATCATGAAGACCAACAGGACAGGAGCCAGTTCTGAAAATAAGAGTGCTTGGTGGACGGGGGCCCGTCCTTCCCTCAGCAAACTTCCAGGCTCAGCCTCCCCTCCTGCGTCTGAGTCGGGGTCACCATGAGGCAAACCAGGCAGGAGGAGGGCTGTGCTGCTCCCCAGAGACAGCCGCTGTCCCGTCTCCTGTGCTTTCAGAAATGTGCCTGCACTTTGCCTTCAGTTCTGTGGTCTGCTCCCCGCTGGCCGCCTTCCGTGTCCCCACGGGTCTGAGGTGTCTTTCTGTCAGCCCCGATCTGCCCTCCTTCCCTGTAGTGTTGACCTAGTGTTCCGCTGCACAGCATCCTGGACCCTGGCACCCCCGTGCAGAAGGCCACGTGCTCCTGCAGGCCTTAGGACCTGTGTCCCCTGAGCGCCTGCTCACTGCCGCTGTGGTGAGAGTGTGTCCCCCGGGGCCCCGGGGCTACGCTGTCTCCAGCAGGAGGGCAGGCTTTGGCTCTGGGTGGGGCCGCCACTTAGCCTGGGTCTTGGGCTTGCTTTGTTCTTTTTTGGTACCAAGGATTGAACGCAGGGGCACTGACCACTGAGCATCATCCCCATCCCTATTGTGTATTTTGTTTAGAGAGAGGGTCTCACTGAGTTGCTTAGTGCCTCGCCATTGCTGAGGCTGGCTTTGGACTCATGAGGCCTTAGCCTCCTGGATCACAGGTGTGTGCCTCCGCGCCCGGCTGCTCAGTCATTTCTTGTGTGAAATTCACCTTGTCCACTTCTCTACGCTGATGTGGGCTGTCTTCTTGCTGATTGACAAGAGTTCTTTGTTGTTTCTAAGAAATCAGCCTTGTTTCCATTTGTCTTGCAAATGTTTTTATTGTTATTTACATTTTAATGGTATTTTTCACGTGTAGAGTGAACCTCAAGATTTTTATTTGGCGGGGCTGGGGTGGTGGCTCAGTGGTAGAGCACTTGCCTAGCAAGGGTGAGGCACTGGGTTCAATTCTCAGCACCACATATAAATGAATGAATAAAATAAAGGTCCATCAAAATCTAAAAAAAGAAAATATTTAAAAAAATTTGTTTGGTCAAACTTAACCAGAACATAATCCCTGAACTACAAGTGTCTTTGTCAGGCATGTTCGAATCCACACTGGAGAAAAGCCATACAAGTGTGAGGAGTGTGGCAAGAGCTTCACTGTGAAGTCCACTCTCGATTGCCACGTGAAGACCCACACAGGTAGGTCAGCCCTGGGCAAGGCCTTGCTGCGCTCGTGTTTTATTCCCATGTATTTCCCACACTTTGATACTTTCAGCATCATCGAAAGCTTAGAAATCAGGAACCATGAGAAAGTAGATATAAAAGATCATTTTTTTCTAATCCTGACGTAAGGAAAATGATCTCAAAAAGAGGATTAGATCTCAGAATCGAAGTCACAGGTTGTCTGTATTCTTCATGTGACCTAAATGGCTGTTGAAAAGATGGCCTCTGGGTCTCGTTTGGCTATCGGAGTCGCCTGCAGCTTGTTGAGGCTTTTTTCAAACTGGGACTGTCAAGTCCTACCAAAGTGTCCAGGTCGGCATACTTTCTGTGTGAGGAGGGGACAGTTAATGTCCAGCGTGCCTGGCCTTTTTCTTTCTTTTGTCTGGATTGAGGCCTGAAAGTCGGTGGTCCCCTCACATCCCTGGCTGTGCCTGCCTGCCTTCTGCACTGTGGGCCCTCCTCCTGCCCAGGGTGGGCTCCTGCTCCTCTGAGCTGCAGGTCCCTGCGTGTGCAGCAGGCACGAGGGTGGCACTTCCCTCCCAGGCAGTTGAGGAGCGTTGGCTGCGTGGGAAGTGCTGGGTGGACCTTGGAGGTGCCTGCCCTTACTGTGGCGTCCTGTGGTTCTTTTCTGATGGCGTCATGTTTAGAGCTAAGCAGACACGTGAATTCGTGTGCAGTTTTCCTTTTGTGTCCTGGGGGTCTTGTGGTTTTCTCTTGTGTCACTCTGTGAACTTGGGGGGGGGGGTGAGGAGAAATTGGCGCTGCCTGCCTTGGCATCCCAGGGCTGGGGCACTGTCTTCAGCCTGGTGGGTGCTGGGAGGGGCTCAGGGTCCTCAGCACCTGCTTGGCGGACTTCCCGCAGCTCACGTGGACCGGAAGTGGAGAGGCGTCTCTGAAAATGCTTCCGGTGCACCTTTCGCCACGTGAAAGACCCCAAACAGTGTAAAATCCCGTCTTCCCATGGTCCTTGCCTGCACATCCCTGGTGAATCCCGGTGCCTGGGCAGCAGAGGGAAAGAGGGGGCAGGAAGCTTTTCTGCCCAGGCTCCTCCAGGGCAGAGCCTCTGCTGTGACACTTTGCCCTTGTGGCCTTTGTTACATGGATGATGGTAAGAAGGGTAAGGAAGGAAAGAAGTGGGTCCATGATACCAGACACATGGCCCTGTGGACATTTCCCCATGTGTGGCATTACCCTATGCCAGCCACATTGGTTGTCCCTGTTTATGCTAAGATGCTAAAGCACCCTTTGTAAATCAAAGAGAAGCACGTACAACAGCCTTGAGCTTCCAGTGGCAGGCCGTGGCTCAAGGGCTAATCCTGGGGGGGTGAGGAGCCTCACAGTTCACACGGTGGCAGCCTGCCCCAAGGCTCTGCACCTGTCGGCCAGGTCTGCAGGGTCTGGGGAAGGTTCCCTGTGGAGCACTTGGGTGGGCTGCCTCGCTGCTGAGCAGGGTCCCGGAGCCCCGCTGACACTCGGCTGGCTCTCTGTAGGCCAGAAGCTCTTCAGCTGCCACGTGTGCAGCAACGCCTTCTCCACCAAGGGGAGCCTGAAGGTGCACATGCGCCTGCACACGGGAGCCAAGCCCTTCAAGTGCCCTCACTGTGAGCTCCGCTTCCGCACCTCGGGGCGCAGGAAGACGCACATGCAGTTCCACTACAAACCAGACCCAAAGAAAGTCAGAAAGCCTGTGACACGCAGCTCACCAGAAGGCCTGCAGCCAGCGAGCCTGCTCAGCCCCTCCTCCACGGACCCCAACGTGTTCATCATGAACAACTCTGTGCTGACAGGACAGTTTGATCAGAATCTGCAGAATCTGCAAGGACTGGTGGGCCAAGCGATTCTTCCTGCCGCCGTGTCAGGTAAGAGTCGAGCTGGGGAGCGGCCCAGTCCTGGCACACTGGGCGTCCCCTCGTGCCCGGGTGGGAGGACTGCCGTTTCTGCAGCAGGATGCCCTTCCTGGAGCCCCTCCCTCCGAGGCCAGAGGGTTAGAGAGTTCACCTCCCCTTCCCCTGCTGTTAGGTCGCTTCTCAGCGCCTCAGCCCTTTGGGTGCTTTCATTTTTAATGGGCTGAGCCTTGCTTCTCGCTGCTTGGCACCCTTTTAGATTCAGTGTGAGGGTTGGCTCAGGAGCACTCGTTGACACAGCTTCTGGTACAGTGGCGTTACCATGTTGCTGGGCCACGGTCCGTGGAAGGCGTCCAGGTCTGACCCACTGGGCTGTGAGTTCTTACTGCCGCAGACATGCTGGCGCCTGGCAGCAATCCACGCTGGCCTGGCACTTCTTGGGCACTGCTGTTCCGACCTGGTCTTACCTGAGGACTCTCTTTGAGCCAGTTTGGTATGTTCAAAATGGATAGTCCTATTATTTATCTCACAGGATTTGTTCTTTGGTGATTAAATTAGGTCGTGTATGGTGTGGTGAAAATACAGGATTACTGCAGTGTGTCCGGCATTTATAAAACCTACCTATTTAGAAATCCCTATGTAAACATCGGCTCCTTCAGATTTGAAAATCATTTATGGTGTTTGACTGTCCCTTCATTCTTTTCTTGGGCAGCTGGTGGTGACCTGACCGTGTCTTTGACAGACGGGAGCCTGGCCACCCTGGAAGGCATCCAGTTACAGTTGGCTGCCAACTTGGTTGGGCCAAATGTTCAGATTTCTGGAATCGATGCCTCTAGCATCAACAACATCACGTTGCAGGTGCGGTGACTGTGTGGTTCCTGTGCTTTCATGTTGTCTACATCACGAGACGGCACGAGATTTCCCTGACGGGCGTCTGTTACTTTTCAGATCGATCCCAGTGTTTTGCAGCAAACACTGCAGCAGGGCAACCTGCTCACCCAGCCACTCTCGGGAGAGCCCGGCACCGCCCCTCAGAACAGCTCCCTGCAGACCCCTGACAGCACCGTCCCAGCCAGCGTCGTCATTCAGCCCATCTCAGGCCTGTCCTTGCAGCCCACAGTGACATCTGCCAATCTGACCATCAGCCCACTGTCTGAGCAGGATTCCGTGCTGACCACCAGCAGCAGTGGTGAGAGTCGTGCTTGTGTCATGGTCATTTCCTTCCCTGGGCAAACCCACCACGTGAGCCAGACATCCTGGGGATGGAGGGAACCTGTCTGTGTCCTCAGCCCTGCTTGCTCTGTGCGTCCATGGGGCACTCGTTCTGGCTGTCACTTGGCTCATGCCGCATCAGGTTCCCTTGCAAGGCTGTGGCACATGTGCACGTATGTTGTATCTCTGTGGTGCTGTGGATCAGACCCAGGGCCTTGCAGGTGCTGGGGCACGGCTTATCTTAGAGGAACTAACTAGAGGTGACGGATAGGTCATTTTGAATCTTTGTCTTGTTGAAATAACAGTTTATTTAAATTATTTTTAATATATATGAGGATAAATGTGCAGTTTTAGATCTCAGCTGTGCTTTGCTTTTGTACTGATGAGCAGGGACCCAGGACCTCACTCAAGTGATGACTTCTCAAGGCCTCGTGTCCACATCCACGGGCCCGCACGAGATCACCCTGACCATCAACAACTCCAGTCTCAGCCAGGTCTTGGCCCAGGCAGCGGGTCCCACTGCCACGTCCTCCTCAGGGTCCCCACAGGAGATCACGCTGACTATCTCTGGTTAGTAAGTGGGTTTCCGCCTCCTCGCCCTGCAGCTCAGGTCCACGCTGTTGTGGTTCCTCTCCCAGGACAGCTTGGCGTAGCACCAGGGTTAGGTGTGAGGAACACGAGCCTGGGAGCTCCTGCCAGAAATCAGGACGTGGTTTCTCCTGTCACTTCCTGCACGTGGAGTCGACTGTGTGATGCACTGATTGGTCTTGAGAGAGCCTGTGATTCTGCAGTGTTATGTTCAGTGAAGAGCAGAACAGATAGCTTTGTGATTCTTCTCATGCTCTGTAAACCGAAGGCAGTCACTGGGTGAATTGTGTCAACAAGGACATCTTGGAGACCCGTTGTGTTCACCTGCTCTTTGTCTTCAGAAGCCTACTCAGATTATATAGAAAGAATTAAAATATGGTAGAACATTGTAAAGCAGGTAAACAGGCCAAAAATGTCGTTGGGCAGTGTAGCTCACGTAGGTGTACAAGTTAGTCATAGCCCAGGTCAGTTGGTGAGCAAGCACCCATCTCCAGGTGCGCGCCTGCCTGGGTCCTGGCATGGCCACAGTCCTCACAGTGTGCTCTGGCCTAGGGGTGCTAGCGTCACGTGTGTCTGGCACGCTTCATCCCCGGGATTTTCAGCCCTGAGCTCTTCTTCATGTGAACTAGGAGTCACTTTTAATGTGACGATTTTTATAGCCCCGTCCACGTGCCAGGTGTTATTCTAATAACTTGTTGAATATTGATGCCTTTATATTAGTTCACTTAATCCTCATAACTACCACATGAAGTTGTTCTTGGAAATAACAGAGCCATTTTACTGAGAATAAAAATTCCTTCCGTGGAGATCTGGTGTGAGGGAGGGCAACACCCTGTTTCCCCTTAAGCAAGTAAAGGGGAGCACAGCAGACCAAGTTCCCGCCAACTCAGCCATGAGGCCACCCGCGGTGTTCTACTTTTATTTCAGTGAGATCTTTGCAGAAATTAGCAATGGGATTAAAAGAAAGGCTATGTTGTGAGAACAGAAAGCTTTGTTTTCCAGTATGGTGTCTTTATTCCTTTGTTTGTTTTTATTTTGTGGTACCGGAGATTGAACTCAGGGGCACTCAACCACTGGACCACATCCCCAGCCCTGTTGTGTATTTTGTTTAGAGACAGGATCTCACTGAGTTGCTTAGTGCCTTGCTTTTGCTGAGGCTGGCTTTGAACTCGTGATCCTCCTGCCTCAGCCTCCTGAGCTGTGGGATGACAGGGTGTGTGCGCCACCACGCCCAGCCTTATTCCTTTTTTTTTTTTTTTTAATGTGAGAATTTTAGATGCTCTTAACATTGACTTTTATGTAACTCAGTAATTTCCTGATGTATAGCTGACTTTTAATATTGGAACCGTAGATGGTTATTTAAAGAAAGCTGTTTTGTTGATGAGATTGACTTTGAGGACCCCAGTATGGGTGGCGTTGAGCGAGGCCCCATCAGAAACACTCGATGCATGATTCTCACTTTCAGTTCAAAAGATGTCTTCTAGGCCGCTGTATTCCACGGCACTTCTTAATATAGGCAAGAACAGTCCTTTGCTTCCCCAGCCCAGCCCAGTTGTTAATAAAAAGTGGTTCACCTTCCCCTGGAGCCTGCTCTGCAGACGGTGAGCAGATCCCAGCCTCTGTGGTCCTCCTGCTCTGAGCGCTCCAGGCTGTTTAGCACAGGGAGGGCTCCACAGTGTGGGTCTTAGGGACTTTGTGTTTGCAGAAGGCAGCTGCAGGTGAGAGCTGGCTTTGCTGTTGGCTGTGGCTCCAGGGCAGGCTCCTGGCCGATGCGACCGTGCCTCACAGGTGTTGGCAGAGGGTTTTGTTGTTTTTCTCCATAATTGGGGTGTAGCTTTTTGAGCTTTGGTTGCCATCTTGGGATGCTCATGGCACCCATTGAAGGATGAGTGGGAAGTTGAGGACGGAGCCTGGGTGCCACCAGTGCCCGCGTACCACTTGCCTGTGCCTGCGTGCTTGTGCTCACCAGTAGCGCTGTACCAGCCTCTGCGTGCTCTCATAGGTCGGGCAATCCCTCTGAGACCATCCTGCTTGCCAGGAGGAGAAGGCATCTGCTGTGTCCAAGAAAGGCCTGACATTACCGATTCTGTCCCAGACAGCTTCGTTCTCCTAGCACCGACTGCAAGGGAAAGCATCTAAAAGTTCTGTTATCTTTTGCTAGAGAAACTTAAGAAAGAGTCAGCTAATGTTGAAGGACTGCATGAGGGTTCCTCTGACTCCCGTGTTTCAGAGCAGGAGGCACTGAGGTGAGGAGCCTGAGCGGAACAGCCGTGGGAGTCAGTTTCTCCTGCTGCGCTGTGGACCAGCTGCTACTCAGTGGGTCCTGTCTGGTGGCTTTCTCCAGTGGTCCCTCTTCCCGGGAGTCCTCACCTGAGTTTTCTCTCTACGGTGGCAGCAGTGACTGGGCTGTGGGTCTCATTTTCACTCTTCCTTTTACTCACGTTTTTTAGTACTACAGTAGGCAGCAGAGCATCCTCACCTTAGATATACAGAAACTAAGAAGAACCTTCTCAAAAAATTGGGTGAAAGGCTCTGCCTTTCCTCTGTGAACTTCAGGACCAGCGCCCTTCCTGCCTGCTTTGCACTGACCTCTTTCTCTTGCCCACCTCGCAGAGCTTAATCCTACGAGTGGGAGCCTGCCTTCCACAACACCAATGTCACCATCAGCCATCTCCACTCAGAACTTGGTCATGTCTTCGTCAGGCGTGGGGGGCGATGCCAGCGTCACGCTGACCCTGGCGGACACTCAGGGCGTGCTGTCAGGAGGCCTGGACACGGTTACACTGAATATCACCTCTCAGGTGAGCATCATGGGGGAGGTGGGGACCTTTTCAGAGGGTGACTGTGGAACTTCATGAACTTGCTCTTTCCCAAATGTATAATGTTTCTGAATGTTTTCTTTCAAAATTAAAATTTGGCCAAATAAAGTAATTATGTTAGACCCAAAATGGGGGGAAAATTCAGGCAACACAGGAAAGCATAAAAAATAAATTTAAAAAAGTCTTTAATCAATACCTAAGTGGAATTATGGTGAACATTTTCATTTACTTGTCCTTCTAAATCTTTGTAGTCCCACATACAGATGCATATTTTAAAAATTTTTACAGAAATAGGGCCTATAATGTACTGTGTGGTGTAAACTCGTATCGTAGATGTCTTCTCCTATAATTTTAATACTGCAGAACCTGATAAGAGGCCTTACAGCATTCACTTTTGCAGGCAAGCCTTGCTGAGGGGTATTGTGCTGTTTGCAGGGGTACGGGGACGGGTAGAACCTTGGTGCCCTTATCACTGAGGTTCCTGGTGCATGGCTGGATCCAAGGCCTGTGCGTTTTCACAGGATGCTGGAAAACTGTCTGGCAGTACCTAAATCGTTACAGTTATTTACTGTCATAAAAATATAACCTGAAACTCAATAGGTGGTCATGAAAATTAGCAGTTTGTGATGGTGATGGAGAGACAGGTGATAGGAGTCAGTCTAGACTTGATCATTGGGGGTTTATGTCGGTCCTGGAATCTCATGTGCTCCTTGGGTTTGGTGTTTTAATGTGGTGCTGGGGTCACTCCACCACAAACCACAAGCCAGCCCTCCTCAGGTTTAGCGAGGAGATGGAAGAAGAGCTCCAAGAGGGGTCAGAAGTGAGGAATCTGTTTTGCGCAGTCGGAGGAAACTAGGGTCCCAGGGACTAAGAGGAAGCAACAACTAAGCATGTAATTATTATAAATGTTTGTAAGTTTTGAGAGTCTCAGATACTTATTATATGTTAATATTTTTGTTTCTTTTTATAGTTCATGAAAGAAAATGGTTTTAAAAGCAATAGCACTCTTAAGTAATTTACTTAAATAATATTCTTATGTAATTTTGTCCATCAGGCAAAGTTGAATCTGTAATAGCAAAACATTTGGAAAAAAATTTTTATAAATCCATAGTTAACCCTAATTTAAAATATAGTTTTGTCATAGTTGAAAGACAGCGATGTGCAACATCCTTCAGTGTAGAGCAACCTTGTGGAGAAGCCCTAGAACGCTCCCGAGGCAAACGTGGGAAGGGAGACACTGGGCCGCGGGCTTCAGAGGAGCAGAAAGGTGCGCCAGACGTCTGCTCAGAGAGCGGAGGCGTTCAGCGCGTACTCTGAAGAGAAGTGTGTTATACATGAATTCTTCTCAGTTTATATAACTCTGTTATTCCAGGCAGTTGTTGGGTACAAAACATCTGGAGCTCAATTGTTCAGGCATGTAATTATGATTTTTTGAGTCCTGGTTAAGTATCAGACTTTGGCCTTGGAGTGCGTTGGAAGTGGGACAGTCCCATGAAGACCTGTGTGTGGAGAGGGGCCTTTCTCTCAGTGTAGTGCTGGCCTTGGCTGCCCCTGCTGCCGGGAGCTTCCAGAACTTCCACCTCTCTCCACTTTCTCCTCCTCCACCTCACTCCTGGGGCCCTCTCTGGTGCTGACCCCTGTGATGTCTCTATGGAGGCGGTATTTATTTAGGACCGTTGAGGGCAGTAAAGTTATATGTGCTGCTGAGAAGAATGTTTCTGATGAAGTTTTAGTACCTATAATTAGTGAACTAGATTGACTCTCAGGGGCCTGGTGGTGATCTGGGAAACTTGCTGTCACGTCAAGCGTTGATCACTCGTGTCAACTCTTGGTCATTTCTCAGTATTCCCCAGCTGGGTTCACCACTGGCATTCCTGGGTCTCGCCAGCCCCTAGTGGGTTCGGTGGCCTCCTCTGGCTCAGGTGCAGCAGCCAGGCTGTCCAGCACCAAGCCTCCCTGCAACTATTGTGGGCGCAGGTATTGGGCTTGCATGCGCCTGTGGGAAGTTCCTGTGCATGTGGGGAGCACAGAGTCCTGTCGTTTCTCCCTAAGTAGAGACTAAGTATAGAAAAGAAATAAGTAGAGTGTAAGTAACAGTATCCACCAACAGGACTTTTGGGTGATACCATCTAAGTGGGTTCACGTGAGACATGTGGGTTCTCAAGTGTAGAATTTACCGGACTCTAGATTTTTTATTTGGGGCATTTGTGTTAAAAATAGTTACTATTTGCAATTAAAACACAAATAAGCAGCCAGTAAATGACATTGTGTTTCTTTGTAAAAGCTTCTGTTTTTAGGGGATTGTGGGCTCTCCAGCATTGCAGTAACTAGGAGTGGGGGCCTCTGTGCCCTTTCCTCCTCCTCCCCGCATGGTGGTATCTTGGAAAGATAGCAAAATGCAGGCACGTGCTGCAGCCTGGTGTCATCACCACGGAGTGGGGCAGATGGTCCACTCCGGACCCCTCGTGCTGCCCTTTTATAGCTACTCACCCTTCTTTATCCCTGACTACTGCTAATGTGTGTTTTATGTCTACGATTTTGTCATTACAATCCAAAAGGAATCATGACTTTTCCCCTGTGAATGCTGGATGCCTCAGCTTCAGGCTGGGAGTATTTCAGTTTATGACCCAACAGTGATTCCAGTGTACCCCAGAACTTCTGCCCAGCAGGTTTTCATTTTTTATCTTGCCTTTGATTAAAGAACCTGAATTAACAAGTCCAGTTTGACACCATTTTTCAAATACGATAGGCAGGTGGTAGCTGCAGTGAGCCACAGATACCAAGGGAAGTGTCATTGCTGTGGGCCGTGTGAGAGCAGCACTGCTCAGCGCGTGCCCCTGCAGGGCGGTGAACACAGGACTTAGTCCATGCCCACGTACCAGCCAGACTGACTGTGGAGATAGCCCAGATGCCTCCGTCGGCTTTGTAAAAAGACACCTGTGGGAAAGGACCCCAATCCATTTAGGAAGCTTCTCTTTCTGGAATCACTGAAGAGCCTTTGCAGGAGTCGGTCTGTTCTGGTACCTGCCGTAGGCAGTGTCTTTCCTGTGAGAAGAGAAGCTGGTCTTCCACAGATGGAGTATTTAAACGCCAGCTGAGGCCGGCTCTCTTCCCCTTGCACTTTCCCCACTTCCTGTCACCGCTGCTGAGAGGCTCAGCTACTGAACACAGGGAGCAAGCACTTACCTGAGTGGCAGGAGCCAGAGACCTCCCTGGGTGCTTTACCACCTCGGCCTGTTAAAATTCATAGATGTATAGAGGGAGTTTATTTATTTATTTATTTTTGGACTAGGAATTGACCCAGAGGCAATTAACCATCCAGCGACATCAAAGCCTTTTTTTTTTTTTTTTTTTAATCAGAACAGGGTGTCGCTGAGTTACTTAGACCCTCCCTAAGATGCTGAAGCTTGCGATGAACTTGTGATACTCCTGCCTCAGTTCCCAAGCTGCTAGCAATATGGGCATGCACCCATGGCGTCTAGACTGAGATTGATGTCAGACATTCAGGCTGTCCTGGGTTACTGTGTCAGTCAGACATGTGCAGTGTGTGAGGACATTCAGGCTGCCCTGGGTTACTGTGTCAGTCAGACATGTGCAGTGTGTGAGGACATTCAGGCTGCCCTGGGTTACTGTGTCAGTCAGACATGTGCAGTGTGTGAGGACATTCAGGCTGCCCTGGGTTACTGTGTCAGTCAGACATGTGCAGTGTGAGGACATTCAGGCTGTCCTGAGTTACTGTGTCAGTCAGACATGTGCAGTGTGTGAGGACATTCAGGCTGTCCTGGGTTACTGTGTCAGTCAGACATGTGCAGTGTGTGAGGACATTCAGGCTGTCCTGAGTTACTGTGTCAGTCAGACATGTGCAGTGTGTGAGGACATTCAGGCTCCCTGGGTTACTGTGTCAGTCAGACATGTGCAGTGTGAGGACATTCAGGCTGTCCTGAGTTACTGTGTCAGTCAGACATGTGCAGTGTGTGAGGACATTCAGGCTGCCCTGGGTTACTGTGTCAGTCAGACATGTGCAGTGTGTGAGGACATTCAGGCTGCCCTGGGTTACTGTGTCAGTCAGACATGTGCAGTGTGTGAGGACATTCAGGCTCCCTGGGTTACTGTGTCAGTCAGACATGTGCAGTGTGTGAGGACATTCAGGCTGCCCTGAGTTACTATGTCAGTCAGACATGTGCAGTGTGTGAGGACATTCAGGCTGCCCTGGGTTACTGTGTCAGTCAGACATGTGCAGTGTGTGAGGATATTCAGGCTGCCCTGAGTTACTGTGTCAGTCAGACATGTGCAGTGTGTGAGGACATTCAGGCTGTCCTGAGTTACTGTGTCAGTCAGACATGTGCAGTGTGTGAGGACATTCAGGCTGCCCTGGGTTACTGTGTCAGTCAGACATGTGCAGTGTGTGAGGACATTCAGGCTGCCCTGGGTTACTGTGTCAGTCAGACATGTGCAGTGTGTGAGGACATTCAGGCTGCCCTGGGTTACTGTGTCAGTCAGACATGTGCAGTGTGAGGACATTCAGGCTGTCCTGAGTTACTGTGTCAGTCAGACATGTGCAGTGTGTGAGGACATTCAGGCTGTCCTGGGTTACTGTGTCAGTCAGACATGTGCAGTGTGTGAGGACATTCAGGCTGTCCTGAGTTACTGTGTCAGTCAGACATGTGCAGTGTGTGAGGACATTCAGGCTCCCTGGGTTACTGTGTCAGTCAGACATGTGCAGTGTGAGGACATTCAGGCTGTCCTGAGTTACTGTGTCAGTCAGACATGTGCAGTGTGTGAGGACATTCAGGCTGCCCTGGGTTACTGTGTCAGTCAGGCATGTGCAGTGTGTGAGGACATTCAGGCTGCCCTGGGTTACTGTGTCAGTCATACATGTGCAGTGTGTGAGGACATTCAGGCTGCCCTGGGTTACTGTGTCAGTCAGACATGTGCAGTGTGTGAGGACATTCAGGCTGCCCTGGGTTACTGTGTCAGTCAGA